GACATACTTTTTAAAAAAATAAATAAAATAAATAAAAAGTCATAAAATTAATTAAATTCTAGTTAGGCCAAAATAATTCAAATATTTGGCAATAAAAAATCTTCAAAATGTTAAAAATTGTCTAAAGAGCATGCCATATTCTTTTTCCATTTCTATGGCAAGTTCTGTCCATTATTATATTCCCTTTGGGCTTCGTTTTTTGGCTTGGCTTGGACCGACTTCCTTTATGACTGCCAAATGCACTCTCCACATGACCCAACTGCCTTTAACCCCTCCAATGGACTCTGCCATCGTTCAAAAAAATAAAAGAAAAAATACTGAATCGTTTGGAGTTTGAAAAGCTGTTGCCAGTTATTGTCTCGCCGCCCCCACAAAAAAGTATGCTACACATATTGGAGATGCTTACTCCTCCCGAAACTGAGAGAGAAAGTCGCTCCATTTTTTTTAGCCACTGGCACTGCCATCAATAAATAATAAATTGCCTATAAAAACTGATAAATTCATTGATGAATCTGAAGCGAGCGAATGTACCCATAAATGCCAGACTGCCATATTTGCAGCCACGCCTTCTTAATCCGCCCCAGCCACGCCCAGTATTCATATTTTTTTTTTTTTTGTAAGTGAGTAATGGAAATTCATGATAATAAATGTATGTGGGTGGGGGAGATTACGATATTTTTGGGGTGGAGTTTCTCAATGCGTCTTGCATTTATATTTTTTTTTGCTCTTATTCGGGCATTCTTTCTACTATCTGGTCATTTTAAGATACTTGAGCTATGGAAAGGCACTGAGAAAAATTATAAGGATTTGAAAGAGGTTTTCTATAATATTCTTATTCGTTTTTTTTTAAATTATGTTTTTATATGTATATATTGAAAAAAAATTAGAGTTCAAGTAATAAAATATTTCTAAGAAACTAATAAATATTTTCCCAACATTTAAATAAATTCTATAATTTTTCAACTTAATTTTAAAATTTTTCATATAATTAATATACTTTCATATTATTTTGAATATATTTTTTACAAATTCCCTTTACCCATATTTTTGTTTCTAGCCCTTTTGCAGTAAAACCCAAGTAAACCATCTATTTATGGCTCTTTTTGAAATCTGTTACCAAGCTTGTCCATCTACTAGCCATTTTTTTGTCTATTTATTCCCCAAATATTCAATTCAAACATTGATTTATGTTATTTTTTGTTGCTGCAAGCACAATGGCCAAGAAAACGAGAGAACCAAATTCACATTTAAGCCTTCAGCCTGGCAGTTTAGCCGGACTAAGGCTATATAGGGGGATATTGACCGAAAGTGGGTGCTAACTATTACAGATTTTTGGATTTAATTTCTATCTTCTCTTTTGAGTTTTAAGGTGATTATTTTATGAGCCCTATCAAACCTCTTTATGATGTTCTCATAATTAAAGCTATAAATAAACCTTTTATTTAATTATAATTTTCCTTTACCCTTTCACCAAACTTAAATCAAAGCCTAGCCGTTTATGTTTCCAAGGCTTCGCTTTTCCTTTTAATTTTGTGTTTATTTAATTTTCCTGGCACGTGAAAAATGCCAGAAATTTATCGCATTTTCATCTGAGACATGGCCTGAGACGTGGTGGAGGCACCTTCCCTCATCCCATCCATCTATTTTCTGGGGCTATCATCCATCCATTCATCTATTTTTGATTTACTTGAGAAAAACGAGAATCGCAGACAAACATTATTTCCTTGACACTCTCTTTTGTTTGCGTTTTATTTTTTTATATATTTATTTTGATTTTTTGTTGGTGTTGTATTTGTTGTTGTTGTGGATTTTGGTGTTTTTTTGTTTTATTTTTGTGCTTGCTTTTTGTTAAATGTAATTTTAAGTGACGTCGCCAAAGTTGAGACGTGACAAAATTACAAAATATTTTGTAAGCTCTTAAAACCGTTGATGCCAGCAAGGATGGCATGCCGGTGGGTTAAAGTGTGGGGCAGGAGGGGGCCACAGGACATGGCCATAACATGGCCCATAACAATAAAAACAAATAGAAGCAACAACAAAAACAACCAACATAATACTTAATAACGTGCATTTTGATGTTGTCGCGGTTATTCCGGAGCTGGAGTCTGAGTTTTAGGATGTTTTTGTTGGTTGGATTTGGATTAAGGATTAAGGAAGAAAGTGGAGCGTTGGGGCGTAAGGGCGTGGTCTTAGCCATTGGAGGGATTCCCATACTTTTTGTGCCAAACTGGGCACATCAAAGGCACAGTTTCTTGTTCCATTTTTTTTTTTTACTTTTTTTTTTGTGGGGTGTCCTTTGCAAAGTCCAGGACACTACCAAACAAAATAGTTTGCCTAGAAGCCCAAAACTATTTGAAGTTTTGGGGACTTTTTCCACAACAAAGTCCCGGGCAAACACAACACAACACAAAGTAAGAAAAAGCAACAAAATTAACAGTCGAAAGTTGTCAGAAAACTGCTTCAGGATCTTCCGGGCTATAATGGCTGAAAAGGCCATGAAAATGGTGTCCTGTTTGGAATAATGTCAAGTGCTCTAATTGAAGTCATTCCAGTAGCTGAATATATTTTTTTTTATTAAAATATATTTGAAAACAAAAAAAAAAAATGATTTTGAACTTGAACCTTAAAAGATTGTGAAAAAATTAATGAAACAATCGACAATATGGAAATATTGAAATGTTAAAAAGTATTATTTTAGAAAAAAGACAAAGTTTTTAAACTTTAGGCTCAGAATCTGTAGAACAAGTTACTAAGTATATATTTAAAAATTATTAAAAATATGGAAGTACTAAAAACAACGTAAAAGTTAAAACTTTAAAATTCCTAATAAATTAAATACTCAAAAAATAGCTTAAAGCCTAATAGAAATTTACTTTGATAAGTAAAGAAATAAATATTTTTATCTCCACATCCAAAAATATTTAACCCCCTAAATACCACAGCCATAACTGCTCAAAACCAACCAAAAGAAACTCTGTAATAAATACTCACAATTATAGTAATTATTTGAATAATTTTAGCCCAAATAACAATGTAACATTGCAGCCATTTGTCTGCCAGCTCACGAGATAATTGGTGAAATGAATATTTGGCAGCAGCATAATGCAATGAAAAGGCTTCACGTTCAACCTTCCACACAGAGTCTTGCACACAGACAAAGGCCGCAACGAGAATGTAAAGTGAATTAAAGAGGGGGTAACCCGCCATCCTTGAAATGTGAATTATCCTTGTACCGACACATATATCATATATCTACATACATATATATATATATAATATTATATATCCATATATTCTGGGAAAACATGACTAGCTTTTTTGGTTCGTTCTGTATTTTGTTGTTTTTTTTTTTATTTTGTCAAGGCACATCTACTTAACAAGGCAGGAGCGTAGCTAGCTAGCTGGGGGGGAGGTGTGATGGGCGAGTCGGGCAAGCGAATGCGGCTTGCCTCTTATTATGGTACAGAAGCGGCAAAAATAATTTCCACATGAATTACCAAACGGAGAATGCACTCACTAATTAGATGCATAATTAGACATGAAGTTTTGAGCTTCATCCGGGTGAGTTTTCATCCAGGAGCGTAGAGGCCAGGCTAGGGGGAGGAATTAAAGGGTTTAAGCATGTTTAAAATTGATTGGATTTTTAAAGTGGGTTTTAGGTTTATTTTTTTAATAACAGGGATTGCAAATAATCTTTTTAAAATAATATTTCTATTTTTACTTTTTTAAAAATCTCTCTCTGTTTAAAATTTTCTTTGAATTTCCTTCAATCCTTCTGACAATAGTCCTTTGTCCTCCATTCTTGTTGGTCTGTCTTCTTGGCTAATTCAGTTTGTATTCCCCACTTTAGCTCTGTTTTGGCCAATTCGGTTAACTTCAGTTTGGAATATTGGTTCTTAATTGAAGTTCAGCTACGACTTGGTATCGAAGATGCGGCAGCCAAGTTGCAGCTGTAGCAGGTGCAACCTAACAAAATGTGCAACAGCAGCAGGACACAAAAAAAAAAAAAAAATGAAATAGATAGATAGTGGTGTCTCTTTTGTGCATGAACAGCCATCTCTTTCTGCACCTTTAACTTTGGCCGCAAAAAGTTGGGCACGTGCAAAGTGCACGTAGCCGGAAACAAATGACATTGTCAGCGCCCTGGCCCCAAAAACTGAACAGTTGGTAGAGGCGGCCTGCCTGCCTGCCTGCCTACCCCCTTCTCTGGCCTATTCCCCCCTTTTTCTGCAGCCCATGTCCTAGCTAGCTGCTGTCCTGTCGAGAAGAAATCCCAGCTAAGCATTTCCGGTCGCGTTTCAACTTCCCCTGGCTTCGTTTATTCTCTCTTTTTTTCTCTCTTTCTTGCATCTCTTTCTACTTTCACATGTGTGTGTGTGTGTGTGTGCCTGCCTTAGTGTGTGTGACAAGGCCATTAGCAATAGCGGCTTTGGCAGCCACAAAAGTTGAAGGCGCATCCTTGCAGCTGCCATTTTATGACAGTCTTTTGTTGTCGGCTCCTAACTGAGGGATCTTTTTTTTTGCTTAAACTTTTCTAAAAACAAAAAATACGAAAAACAAGCATTAAAATATACAAAAGAACAACATATTTTAATAATAAAATAACCCGGTACCGGTAAATATACCCGGTACTTCTAGACATATCTCGGGCTTTAAATCCAAAAAAAAGAATAGGGATCCCAAACAAGGTATCGAATATATTTAAGACCTTAAACAGATTTATTTATTAACTAATCATAAGGTCGTGGTTAAGTTACATAATATTTATCAAGTCTCTAAATAAATGGACAATAATTATAGCTTTTTTTTCTAAGTGTAATCACCTTGACTGCTCCATGGATTATTATCAAAGTTTCTGGTATTCTGGTGTAACATTTGCGGTTAAATGGCCTGACAAACCGGGCAGTACTCTGCCAATTAGTTCAATTAATGCCACTCCATAGTACTCATTCGGAATTTTGAATTAATTCCCATTCCCTTCCAATTCCTTACCATTCCAGGTGGCAGCTTGGGCAGCACAGGTGGCAGCAATATCGGGGGCATCAATGCGGAGTGTCCGACGGACTCGTTTCGTTGCAACAACGGCAAGTGCATCTCGCACCACTGGGTCTGCAATTACCAAAAGGACTGTGACGATGGCGAGGACGAGATGCAATCCTGTCGTAAGTATTCCCATTAAATATATATCACCTATATATATATACATAAGTATTAACCACAGACTGGTGTAATTAAAATATGAAATGAAAAGAATAATAAGTGTATATATATGGGATGGATGGTGTGATTTTTCGCCGCCAGATTTCATTATAAGGGAAATCAAAGAAAATATTCAAGTGCCTCCTCCATAAAACGATTAAATCGAATTTAACTCGATAATTCCGCAGAAATTTCAACGGCGCTGTGTGCGGTCGATCGAAGTACTCGCCATTTAATTGTATTATTAAAATGCAAATTATGTTTTTGGACTTAATTAAGGCATGGCTTTAAATGGTTCTTTTTATAGGAAATTGTTTTATTTTTTTTCGAAAAAAATAAGGGATGTTAATGTTATTTTAGAGAAGGTGTAACTTAATTAATTTCTATTTTTAAACATTTTATTTTATTTTTAACCTAAAATCCATGAATTTTAAACAAAAAACTTAAAAATTGGCATCACTATTAAAAAAAAATCTTAAATTTGGCAGCACTGTTTAAAAAGCAAAGTATAAATAGGCAGCACTGTTGAAGAACAAGAACCAACATTAAAAAAAAAATAACTCTCCTTGAAAAAAACTGAAAACAATGATATTTTTCTTTTAAAAACTTATTTCTAAATATATCAAAGCTTTTAATTTATTTCCCTAAAAATTCTTAAATATTTTGTATTAAAAAAAATACCAATTTTTACAGCCCCACCGGAATGCGAGACCCCACAGCTAAATTGCGGACAGTATGTTTTCAACAAGACGTACTGCATTCCGCCGCACTATCGCTGCGATATGATCGAGGATTGTGAGGACAAGTCAGACGAGGCCCAGTGCAGTAAGTACAACTTGTCCACATATATCAGAATATATATATATATGGTATGAGAAAACTGATACCCAAGCACGCCTTTTCTCGCTTTCAATGTAAATTTGTTGACTCGACAAATATTGGTTAGCTAGAAACTCATCCCTGTTCCACCGAATCCTTTCGCTGGTTTGCCACAGAAGGAGGAAGATGGAGGATGGTGCGGCTAAAGGATTGCGGATAGCAACAATTTGCTTAGCAAAATGTTTACATTTTATTATACCAATTTTATTTATGCAAATTTCAACAAATTCACATGAACACGGCGAAGATGTAAAGTAAAACCGAAAAGCAAAATGGGAAATAGGAAATGGGGGGATAGGAAGCCCGCAGTTTCTTCCCGAAACTCTATTACATAAATATTCATGCATATATATATTTTAAACAAGAGATATATACGTATACTTAACTGGAAAATCCCCAAGGTAAAGGCCACAAATTAGCGAGGAAAACTCAAGATGAACATTTCCGCACACCAACAGAAATGGATCAATTTGATGGAGGGCCATAAATCTTATTCCCCAAGTTTGGAAGAGTGGGGGCGGGGGCTCGGACAGAAAAGGGTCGGGCCCAATGGGGCTAAGGTTAACCCTTTGGTTATCGCCTGGGCTAGTTGCACACCGGGAATGTGAATTGATGATGGCCAACTCAAGTTGTTTCAGTTCATGGCCGGAATCGCAAATGAACTAAAGTTAACTTCCACGACGACCGTTTTCCACACAAAGTGATGAAAGCCAGAAAAGTGATGCTCTCTTTGAAAGTTTTTACAGCATATTTAGGCCAATTGCTATTGGAGAAAAGAATGTATCCCAAAAAGGTCCGAACTTCAAATGGGCATTGTGAGGCTTTTAGATGAAGTCTGAAATCTACTACCTTGGCTTGGGTGATTTTGGTTACAAATTTAGTTAGGGGGTGGGTAACATAAGTGAAAAGTTGGGGAGACCTCTACTTTAAAACCCACAAAAATGGGGTTATCCCCTTCTGGCCTCAGAACGATGTCCATATCGTCTCCAATTTTGATTCGATTTTTAAGCGGAATACTTTAAACAATTTCTAGATCAATTTGCCACCATTCTGCATCAAAATCCCGACACAAAATATTTTTTCGATTTTTTGTCCCTTTTTCCTGAAGGGACCCCTTGAAAATGGGGTTTTCCCCTATAGGGCCCACTGGGATGACTATATCTTCCCCAATTCTCATCCGATTCTCAAGCGGAGTACCTTAAACGATTCCTAGATCGATTTGCCATCATTCTGCATCAAAATCCCGACACAAAATATTTTTCAGATTTTTTGTCCATTTTTCCTGATGGGACCCCTAGAAAATTGGGGTTTCCCCTATAGGGCCCACTGGGATGACTATATCTTCCCCAATTCTCATCCGATTCTCAAGCGGAGTACCTTAAACGATTTCTAGATGGATTTGCCACCATCCTGCATCAAAATCCCGACACAACATATTTTTTCGATTTTTTGTCCATTTTTCCTGATGGGACCCCTAGACAATGGGGGTTTCCCCTATAGGTCCCATTGCGATGGCTATATCTTCCCCAATTCTCATCCGATTCTCAAGCGGAGTACCTTAAACGATTTCTAGATGGATTTGCCACCATCCTGCATCAAAATCCCGACACAAAATATTTTTTTGATTTTTTTTTCCATTTTTCCTGATGGGACCCCTTGAAAATGGGGTTTTCCCCTAAAGGGCCCACTGCGATGGCTATATCTTCCCCAATTCACATCCGATTCTCAAGCGGAATACCTTAAACGATTTCTAGATGGATTTGCCACCATCCTGCATCAAAATCCCGACACAAAATATTTTTTCGATTTTTTGTCCATTTTTCCTGATGGGACCCCTAGAAAATGGGGGTTTTCCCTATGGGACCTAGAACGATGTCTATATCTTTCCTAATTTTCATCCGATTCTCAAGAGGATTACCTTAAACGATTTCTAGATGGATTTGCCACAATTCTGCATCAAAATCCCGACACAAAATATTTTTTCGATTTTTTGTCCATTTTTCCTGATGGGACCCCTTGAAAATTGGGTTTTCCCCTATAGGGCCCACTGCGATGGCTATATCTTCCCCAATTCTCATCCGATTCTCAATCGGAGTACCTTAAACGATTTCTAGATCGATTCTCCATCATTCTGCATCAAAATCCTGAGACAAAATATTTTTTCGATTTTTTGTCCATTTTTCCTGATGGGACCCCTAGAAAATGGGGGTTTTCCCTATGGGACCTAGAACGATGTCTATATCTTTCCTAATTTTCATCCGATTCTCAAGCGGAGTACCTTAAACGATTTCTAGATCGATTTTTTATCATTCATGATCAAAAGCCTGAGACAAAATATTTTTTAGATTTTTGTCTTCATTTTACCCTTATGGAACCCCTAAAAATGGGGTTTTCCACAATGGGCCCCAGAACGATGTCTGTATCTTCTCCAATTTGGATCCGATATTTAAGCTGAATATTTTAATAGTATTCTAGTTTAATTCCCCATTATTTTTTATCTAAATTTAAAGCCAAAGTTTTGCTTTAATATTTTTTTTTAAATTATTTTTTAACCAAAGATTAAAAAATTGAGCATTATTTCGATTCCCACTAAACCCGCACTCCATACTTCCTAAATGTCCTTTCGTTTCTAAAAGGATATGCAGCGTTTTTAAATATTTCTTTATAAAACAAACCATCTAGAGTATTCTCCTTTCCCTACAATATCTTTCCCTCAAGGGCTCTTTTTCATTCGTAATGAGCAATTTCCGCGAAAAAGTTTTCTTTTTCACTTTCGGCGGGACAGACAACCGATTAATTTTAACCCTTGGCACTTGGGGAATATTTATCGCTGATGACTTTAATAATTCGCTGACAGTCGGTTTGGTCTAAAGGGGGTGGTGGGATGGGTGGGATGGGGGTTGAGGAGCCTTGGCACCCATTTATTTCTGAGATGGCCCCCTTTTCGGGCTTCCGCCGTCCATGTCTTGAGCAGTCTGTTGTCTGCTCGTTGAGGAAAGAATTTAATGCATTTTCAACAGCTCTCGCTCGACTGGACTTTGTGCAGCTTTCCCACCGAGGAAAGCGAGAAAAGCAAGGAAAAGCCTTATGGCTTTCTATTCTCCCTCTCACTCTCTTTTCCTTTTGAGGATTTTCCCTCCCTTTTTGGCATAAAGTTCAAGTGCATTCAGCCAGCAGACTGTGAGCCGCACATTTTGATTAAAACTTTTGCCAAAAGGTGGGTGGGTGGTTGGTGTGGGTGTGGGTGTGGGTGTGGGAAAAGCATGGGATAAGGATACCCGCTGCCACTCTCTGTGGCATGCAGCATGCGGCATGTCCATGCAAATCGCCAAAAAGTACTGGAGACTTGTAGAAGCATTTATTGCTTGTTATTTAAGATTTATGCATACATCCGCACACTAACCCGCACACACACACCGATAGCCAAACAAATATTTAAATATCTTTGAGGCGACCAATTTTCAAGTGTTTTATCCCCTCACCATCCGCCCTTTATCCCCTCTTCAGCCTCTATAATTTCCTTGGGAGAAGTCCTTGCCGGCTTTCTTGAGAACAAGTTTCAGCTTCCAGCTTTGACGACTCTCTCGCCTGTCTCGTAAAATACGGCTAGACAAACGCCTCACAACTTTGTCCTGGCGAAGGTCCTTCCTGTGGGTGTCTGTCAGTGTCCTGTGTCTCTTTCTAGCCAACTAGCTCTGTTTGGCTCGCACTCGCATTTGCACTTGGAGGGCCAGACTAGAAGGCCAATTTGTCTTGAAAATGTATTGCTTTTAGCTTGGAAACTTGTTTTTTTTTTTCTAAAAAATCTGAAAAAAATATTAAAACTTTTAAAAAATTATAATTTTTAATTTTTTTATCAAGCTTCTAGTTTTTTTTTATTTATTCGTAGTAAACTTTAAGTGAAAAGTTCAAAACTTGATAAGTTTTTTAATATATTATTTAACATAAATATAAAAATTTCCTAAAAAAAATATATTATGTACAACAAAATATAATATAGTTTTATTTTAGAAAAATAAAAACCAAATGGAATTATTTTTTAAAATTTTTTTTATTTATTAAAATATAAATAATGATAATTATTTATTATTTTGTTAATTGTATGCATTTATACACTGTTACCCCCTAAAAACCAACTAAAAAAGAGAAGGAGATAGTGTGGTGGAAAAAGGATAGCATTAGATTGGCTCGCTCCTCACTCCTTTTTGGCGCAAAAAGTTTCTCCGTCCCAGGATCAAGTTTAAATTTAATTTTAATTTAATAAGACGTTGCCGTAAAACGAGTGTACAAAGCCAGTAGTGGAAAGTGAGGAGGAGAGACTCCCCCCTTATCATGCCCCCTCCTTTTTAAGGGGGGTGGGGGGAGAAGCAGTGGGTTACAGCAATCAGGACATCTCTTTCGCACTATGTTACACAATAATTTATCGCGCTTAAATGGCGACAAAATGTTCACTCTTATTGCGTTCTTAACAAATTTATTTTGCGTACGTGTCAACGCGTCGTCGTCGTCTTCTTCAGTCTTCCAGGATGACAGGACGATATCCTCCAGTTCGCCCCCAAGGGCCAGGCGATGCTCTGCTTCTTCGTTATCCTTACAGTGTTGGTCCACAGACTGTGTGCTGTTAGCTGTGAGCTGTGTGTGTGTGCTTTGCCGCCTTTGTTTGCTTAATTTATGGCATATAAATATTAGAGCGGGCTTATTTCAACTATTTAATTACTTCAGGTGTTGTGCGAACAGGGTGGAATGACAACTGGGAGATAAATGAGTACATGGAGGGGGCCTCTGGGTGGGCGTTGGGAGGCCAAAGATTAAAAGGATGAGCCAAGGCTGATAATCCGCACAGACATTAACACACATTCGGGAGCCTTAATTCACAGATACATATGCTTATGTTAAAATAAACACATAAATTCTTCAAATAAACTGATTTTGGGTTGGGAATTTTC